CCATGTATAATTAATTCTCCCAATACATTTCTTACACTTTCTTCTTAGATTTAGTTGTCGGAAGTGAGTGTGATTTTACTTTGAATCACGAATGAATCAGAAACTGTTTATAAGCTCCGTGAATTTTACAATTTGGCAATGTTCATTATTTGTATTGTTTCTATTGGTCAATCGAACAAGAAGCGGGACTAGGTCCGTGACGTCACGGGCCTAGAAAATCCGGTTTTTAATAATTAATTACGGGAAAACAACGCTATTCAGAGAGCTTAAACAAAGTACACTATTTTTCAATTTAAAATTACTACCAAATGAACTGCAAACCAAAAATCATGAAACATGCCGAACTCGGTGAATAATTCCTAATAAAAATGTTCAGATAAGTTCACATTTGTTCGATCGGACTCGTTGATCATATTTTCGAAAGAATTCATAGTCGTTCACTCCCGTCTGGAACTGGACCCTTTTTATATTACTAAATCCGTAGGTTTTTGCATAGGTTCAGCATTGAACGATCGATTAAACAAACTGTTACTACACTTATCAATTTCTGGCATTCTCGTATTGTCAAAAGAATAATTTCGGTAATGAACGATTTAAAAGCGAAATTGCCCTGTTGCTTTTCATCGCACATTATATTAATTTTAACACACAAGACCGGAGACCAGAATTGAGTTTTAGGTGATCGAATCTGAACTGATTCCATTGTTACATCACGCACTGATTCTATGTTTATCAAACGGAGATTGGTTTTGGACTGATATTCTCGCGACTTCGGGTTTTCATATACATATAACAACAGGTGCAAAGCCGTTTCATGATTTGCCGGCAATCCAAACTATCGCAAATTGTATTACACGCGGCTTCTTTGACTATTTATGACTCCATTAATTATGACTTCAATCATTTGCCACGCACATTAACACATCTCAATTTCGCCGACTGAGTTGTTTGATTTATGGTGCTTAGGACCTTTGCAAGGCCGTCTTCGATGATTCCAATCTTTACGTTTCTCAAGATTTGATCTAATTCTCAATTTGTCACAAAACCTCTCTAATCAGAGGAAGAGATGATGACATTGAATATGTGGTTATGCATTCTTCAATTACCTCTCATACACGTTACGCCTAAAGACATTTTGTACTACTTTCATCTTATTTTGATTATAATCCAAATCAAAAATGAATATTCACCTCTGGCATGGTTGGCTAAAATCAACATTACCAATTCTAATAACTAACAAATATTCCTTATTTCTTTAAATGTCACATAAAATTGAGCATTCACGAAATTAGGAATCACATGTTAGTCCTCGTTAGTCCTTAGCTGGCACAAGTTACGACTTCTGAGAGTTGCCGTTCGTAGGGATGCGACAGCTGGTTAACGGAAAAACATATTCTAAACAGATTTTAAACAGATTCTCGATGTAATTTTCGTGATAAAAGTTTTATGCAAGTTCCCTATTGTGTCTCTCATAACGTCTTGGATGACGCGATGGAATAAATGAAAACCGTCTGAAATGGTTGAGATCGGTACATGACACTAGATTTATCGATGCTTTTGAAAGTCTAAATAGCAAAGTGTGGCATAAGAACCTATGAACAGTGTTAAAGATCTCATTCCAAACAGTCCATTGTTTATCTTTTATATGAGCCGTTCTCTTGAAATTAGCTGGAATTTTCACGAGAAAAATTTCCGCGAATTTCTTCCTCAAATCATTGATGTGTGTATTCGAAAGTGACACTGTACCTTGTTAGATATAAAAAGAGATCAGTTCCAAAGTTTGGAACTATTCTACGCCAGATGTTCCAGCACTACCTTTTATTTCAGTATTGAACGTTGATGTCGGAGGGGATCACCAACATTACCCACCATTAATTCGCACTCGTTTTGAGGTATTTGATTATAAAGAGGGTAAAAATTTGGTAACTGAATAACGGTTTGCATGCTTCCGTTTCGAAAGAGAGTCATGTCAATAAACCTCTTTGCCTAATGTAATGTATATCTATGATTTTATGAAAAAGGCAGAATAAATACAATATCATTTTATTGCTCGTATTATATCGCCCGATTGGCAAAAGTTTATGATATATCCTTCATCTTAACGACGATAAGTAAACATGTGGCAGCAGTTCTGAACTTTTCGTAATTTATTTTTATATCGTGTCATAATATCTTATGCATGTAATTACCTACATTAGTTCTCTTATAAAACTTTGTAATACGTCATGATTTATGAATAAGATAGCTTGTGTAAAACGTGAACTGGACAAAATATATATTCATAGACAAGTTCCTTGGAACTTTTCAATGTACCAACTGTCCTTTTAATTTTGTCATCTAGTAACGCTAGACAGCAATGTATTTATTATGATCTGAAAATTTATGGAAATTAACATTTATTATTATCATCATTGAATAATCAAATTGGACTCATAAAGTGAGCCTGCATAATTGAACAAAAAGACTCAGTGATTTAGATACCAGAAAATTTAATGTTTGTCGCTGAACGACAAGAGATAAATCGAATAACTGAATAGCTAGAAAGCCCGTGTTCAGTTAAGGAATTGATTTGACGGATGGTTTACTATCATTGGAGATTTGACTAATGGTCTGCTAGGTCTTCGTTATCTGCATGCAATAAATTCTCTAATATGGAGGGAACCAGCGGATAACCCTCGTATATGCCTGGAATTTTCGCCATTTACAATAAGCGGAAAATAATATTCTGTTTCAGTATTAGTGGCGACGCGAGTGAACAGAGTTTGCCAACCCTGCCTGCAGGAGAGAAATTCTCTGAATAGTCTTGAGGTATCTGGTATTGGAAGTCGACCATATTACCTTTGGTGTGGTGATATCCTATATTGTAGTATTCCACATCGCATATACAAGGGCACTTAACGAAATGATAAAAGACTAGTATCATTATTTATGGTGCCCTAATACTATGAGGTGAATTTTTATGGTATGCCCTCAGCAGGTCCATAGGCCCAACACGTACGCTCGGCCGGAACCAAGAGAGCTGGAGCCACGAATAGGAAAGATGGAACCCCAGCCGGTTTATAGCCGAGATGCTCTCGCCAGACTACCTAACTCCACCAATAATAAGCACATTATATTCATTTTGAC